GAAATTTTAATGAAAAAAAAAAATAATAATAATTTGGAGTTAAGCAAGTTAAGAAAGCCTAGGGAACAAATGGATTTGTCAGTTAAAAACAGAGTAGGGAAGTTAGCAGATGGGGAGATGGAGGTTTTGGGTAGATGGAGAGAATATTTTGAGGAACTTTTAAATGTCGACGAAGAAAGGGATAGGGAGTGGATAGGGAAGCAATGTGGCAGATGTTGCAAGTATAAGGAATAGGTGGTAAGTTACTAAATGCTGTAAAGAGTTTTTATGAGGATAGTGAGGCTCAGGTTAGGGTGTGCAGAAGAGAGGGAGACTATTTCCCAGTAAAAGTAGGTCTTAGACAGGGATGTGTAATGTCACCATGGTTGTTTAATATATTTATAGATGGGTTGTAAAAGAAGTAAATGCTAGGGTGTTCGGGAGAGGGGTGGGATTAAATTATGGGGAATTAAATACAAAATGGGAAGTGACACAGTTACTTTTTGCTGATGATACTGTGCTTATGAGAGATTCTAAAGAAAAATTGCAAAGGTTAGTGGACGAATTTGGGAGTGTGTGTAAAGGTAGAAAGTTGAAAGTGAACATAGAAAAGAGTAAGGTGATGAGAATATCAAATGATTTAGATAAAGAAAAACTGGCTATCAAACTGGGGAGGAGGAGTATGGAAGAAGTGAATGTTTTCAGATATTTGGGAGTTGACGTGTCAGTGGATGGATTTATCAAGGATGAGGTTAATCATAGAATTGATGAAGGAAAAAAGGTGAGTGGTGCATTGAGGTATATGTGGAGGCAAAAAATGTTATCTATGGAGGCAAAGAAGGGAATGTATGAAAGTATAGTAGTACCAACACTCTTATATGGGTGTGAAGCTTGGGTTGTAAATGCAGCAACGAGGAGGCGGTTGGAGGCAGTGGAGATGTCCTGTCTAAGGGCAATGTGTGGTGTAAATATTATGCAGAAAATTCGGAGTGTGGAAATTATGAGAATGTGTGGAGTTAATAAAAGTATTAGTCAGAGGGCTGAAGAGGGTTTGTTGAGGTGGTTTGGTCATTTAGAGAGAATGGATCAAAGCAGAATGACATGCAGAGCGTATAAATCTGTAGGGGAAGGAAGGCGGGGTAGGAGTCGTCCTCGAAAAGGTTGGAGGGAGAGGGTAAAGGAGGTGTTGTGGGCGAGGGGTTTGTACTTCCAGCAAGCGTGCATGAGCGTGTTAGATAGGAGTGAATGGAGACAAATGGTATTTGGGACCTGATGAGCTGTTGGAGTGTGAGCAGGGTAATATTTAGTGAAGGGATTCAGGGAAACCAGTTATTTTATATAACCGGACTCGAGTCTTGGAAATGGGAAGGACAATGCCTGCACTCTAATGGAGGGGTTCGAGATATTGGCAGTTTGGAGGGATATATTGTGTATTTTTAAATGTATATACTTCTAAACTGTTGTATCCGGGCACCTCTGCAAAAACAGTGATTATGTGTGAGTGAGGTGAAAGTGTTGAATAATGATGAATTTTTTTTTTCTTTTTTGGGGTTTTCTTTCTTTTTGGGTCACCCTGCCTCGGTGGGAGACGGCCAACTTGTTAAAAAAAAAAAAAAAAAAAAAAAAAGCACTAAACCCACAAGGGTCGTGAACTTTTATATATAGAGTGAAGGCATACGAAAAGAATATTTTTCTACAGTTATCCCCCAGTCTGACTAGAGAAAACATAATTCTTACGACATTACCTACACAGCCGCTTTGTAAACAAATCTCATATTTGCATCAATTTTTATTCCGTGAGTGTATGTATCATGTTTATATGCTATGTAACGGGTTTCATATATAATTTTGAGGAAAATATCATAGATGGATTAATGAAAATGTCTATATTAATGTAAAATAAGACATTTAGTGTGCACAAGAGTGATTATTATTATTACGTAGTATTGGCATCACGAGTAGAGAGACTCTTAGCCATTTAACCCTTTCAGGGTCCAAGGCCCAAATCTGGAGTCACGCACCAGTGTCCAAGGATTTTAAAAAAAAAATATGTATTTTTCTTATGAAACGTAGAGAACTTTTGTGAAGGTAATAAAACAAAAAGTACGAAATTTGGTGGAAAATTGACGAAATTATGCTCTCGCGAATTTTGATGTGTCAGCGATATTTACGAATCGGCGATTTTGCCGACTTTACTCCATTTTAGGCAATTACATTATTCCAATAACCAAATGCTTAGCTATTTCACTATATTTACTTCTAGTCTATCGATTGAGCACAGAAATTGCCAAGTTCAACGTTTTCAACTCAAAATAAGTGATCGAAATTGTTAATTTGGCCATTTAACACAAAGTTCAAATATTCAATTTCAAAAAGGTCCAGAATGACAATGTGGTAATCCGGCACTAAACTAACATTCCTGTCATTGTTATGTTTTGAGGTTTACAATAATCCATTTTGATTTTTTATTCACATAATGAATTTTTATCCACACGTCCAAAAAATAAGATTTACTGTATGCATACTGTAATGATTGTAAAAATATCTCACATTTTGTGAAGTATATTAGACCCACCAGCAGACCGTGTAATTAGACAGTGGTGAGGACGTTTGTTTTACTCTTGAATATCGCAAAAATTAACATTTTGCTACTTGACCAGTTCAGAGCCATTCCAGTGCTAAACAACCCAAAATCATCTTCTATTTCTGTAATAGTACTCATTCAGACAATAGATCAAGAAATCGCAAACATTATAAAAACAGACGAAAAAACACTGCCCAAAGTTGCTGTTTAAGCGAAAAATCATGATTTCATGTTTTTTCTCAATACCAGTGTCTGCAGGGCATCGTTTTATTGAGCACCATACCACATAGAGTATCTCTCATATCTAGGCCAAATTAACCACCGAGTTATCAGAAGTGAGCTGAGTCAAGAGTAGAATCTACGGTTGGACCTGAACGTAAGCCTAGATCTACGGGAGACTGAAAGGTTACTTTGAGCTGTCGCTGCCGTATTTACTTACGAGTACCGTGTATTTGACGTATAATTTCTCATAATTCTAGCGGCTCAAATCAGGCAGGAGAAAGTGGTGGCCACATTTGAGAGAATTCTTGGGTCAGTTGCACCATATAAAAAAAATCTGGAGCAGCAGTTGCATAATGATAAAAAAATCGACCGAGTTTTTTAAATAAAATGCCGACTTTGTGTCGTATTTCGTATACATTTTTAGTTGATCTAGTTTTCTTGTCTCATTTGAAGAATGGAACTATATTACGAAATAGAGCATTTTGATAATTTACTATAAAAGACCGGAATGGAGCAAAGTATGGAATGATTGATTTTGCCAATGTTTCAAAAGTAACAAATGATTTCATTGTCCAATAAATGCCAAAAGCATTCTCTATGCAGTCATGAATGGTTGATGTAAAGAGAATTTCGTTCGGATTTTTTAACTCCCGGGTTAGACACCAGGATAACCCAAGAAAGTCGTGCGTCACCGAGGACTTATAACTTATTTCATTGGGGTCCTTAATCATGTCCCAGGATCGACCACACAGTCGACTAACACCAGGTACCTATTTGCTGCTAGTGAACAGACAATAGGTGTAAGAAACGTGTCGAAATTTTCCACCCGCGGGAATCGACCCGGGCCTCCGTGTGTGAAGCGGGAGCTTTAGCACCAGGCCACGGGCCACCCTATTACAGTATTGCAGTAGTCTGCATACAGTAAATCTCCTATTTTTTGTTTGAAAAAATTTCAAAATAAACAAGAAGTAAACACAGGGCCTGGAGACATGACTGTATAACCAAAGAAATGTTATTTAGAGCAGGAATGTCTGCATGTTCATCTGGTCCTGTATTTGAAATTGTCCAATTTTAAATTGTGAAATTGGCAAATGCAAATTCTGACCACATTTTGGTAGTGAAATGTAAAGGGCAGTTTTACTGTATTCAATCGATAGAAAAAAGGAGTTCTAAAGAAATAGCGAGTTGGTTCGACTGAACAAGGGAACTTACGAAATAAGCTCAAGTGGCGAAATCGCCAATTTAATATCGCCGAGGTGCTAACTTCGCAGGCATAATTCCCTCTTTTCCCCTCAAAAATTTCGTTTTTTGGGGGTCATTACAATCGGGAAAAGATTCTCTATCATTTCATAAGAAAAAATTATTTTTTTTTTTTTAAATCTTGCGACACCAGGAGACACCTCAGGATTGGGGGTTGCGATAGTCAAAGGGTTAAAACGCTTGAAATTTTGGAAAGTTTCCTGACATAATAGATGTGGTCACGGAGAATGTAAACAAACCAGGTGGGGCGTGCCGTATTTGAAAGACCACTTGCCGTATAGCAAATTTTGGTCATAATTTGACATCGCTGTATTAGCGGAACGCCATAAAGTGAAACACAGTAAAGTGGGGCCCTACTGTACATATACAGTGGAACCTCTGTTTTCGTGATTTATCTGTTTGAAAAAGGTCTGATGATGAACCGAATTGTACGAACACAGAAGCAATATTTCCCATAAGAAATAATGTAAATTCAATTACTCCGTTCCAGACACCCAAAAAATATTAACAAAAAATACATTTTATAGAGAATAACTATAGTTTTACATACAAACTAGGGCATACGAAAACCGAGGTTCCACTGTATAACCTGCACAAATCTGCAATGCATAGACCTGAATACCTGACCCTGAACATAGGTAAATACACGATACTAGTATAGAGTAAGCAACTGTTGAAAATAGTAGTTTTTTATGTAAGCATATCCTGCTTGTAAATAACTAAATGGAACCTGGATCAACATGCCTGAAGGTGAAACATGAGAACATCAGCTTGCAGAGCAGAGCCACAAGCCGATATTAAAGAGTGAGAACAGAGAGAAGTAATGGATGTGAATGCATGTCGGTTGTATCCAGATGGGCCACCAGGCCTCATCAAAAGTTTTACAGTGGGAGCCAAAGGAAAGGTTTACTGTGTACACACATAAGTGGACCAAGATGGAGCATCTTAAACTTACACCATACGATCAATGGCTCCAGGCTCATTGGACATGCCAAGACCATAGTAACAGAGTGCACCCATGCCCACTACAGCACCTCCAGCAGCAGCAATTTGTCCCACCTCCATTGCTGAAAGTTTATAGTAAATACATTAATTACACGTTACCTATGCTGTATTAGGAAAATTTGACTAGAAATTAAATACAGTATGGCCCCCATATCCGCAGGGTGATGCATTCCAAGGACCTGCCGCAGATGCCGAAACCGTGGATAGTAGCAAACATTATATACAAGACCTATACATACCTAATATAAAGTTTAAATTGTTAAATTATGCACAATAAGTGGAGAATTATCATTTTTCACTAATGGGAAGCACTTCACGATTTCTCTTAAGCTTCTGTACTTTGGAGTCATTATTATGCAAAATTAAGAAGTATTTTTGGGTCACAGTAAACCGTGAATAACTGAAACCATGGATACCAAATCAGTGGATACGGGGGTTCTACTATACATACATCTTAGATTCAATCAAACATCTAAAGCACTGGGAATGCCTGAAGTGAAGTGGACAAGACGCACACATAAATTAACCCTGGAAAAATCACAATTTACCTTGTCCTCTTGTTTAGGGTCTTTGTTAATCTTTGCTCAACTGGGAGAATACTTCAATCAACCAAAATGCATTTCAGGATAAATTAACTTAATAAATTTTCCTTTTCAATGCAATTTTAAGAGCAGTTTTGATTAAAATTATGATAATTTATGCATTTTCAGACTATGTCCTGTTTAACACTAAACTTAAAATATTTTGACTAAAATTACATTTTAAAACCCTTTCAGGGTTTCGGCCGTACTAGTACGGCTTATGCCCCAGGGTTTTTTACGTACTAGTACGCCTAAATTCTAGCGCCCTCAAATCTAGTGAGAGAAAGCTGGTAGGCCTACATATGAAACAATGGGACTATGTGGTCAGTGTACGCAGTATTAAAAAAATCCTGCAGCAGTGCGTAATGAAAAAAAAATAATAATAAAAAAAAAAAAGTGTTTTTGGATTAAAACTGACTTTGCACTGTATTTTTGAATGGTATTTATTGTTGTATTCTAGTTTTCCTGGTCTCATTTTATAGAATGGAAGACATATTACAGAAATTGAGATGATTTTGACTGGTTTTACAATGAAAAGTAGATTGAAACTGAGCTCAAAGTAGCATAAATGTTAGATTTTTACCAAAGTTCAAAAGTAAACAAATCATGCCAAGCGTCCAATACAGGTCAACTGGTGAGTCTAATATTCTTTCACAAGTGCGCTGATATTATTTATACCATTTCTACACTAATGCAGTAGTCTGCATAACGGTAAATCTTCTATTTTTTGTAAGAATAAAAATTCAAAGTGGAAAGCCAAAGAAATATAAGAGGGGCCTGGGGATGTGACTAACGAACAGAGAACTTGTTATTTTAGTACCAGGAATGTCTTTCTTGTTTATTCTGGACCCTATTCGGAAATTGGCATCTTTTGAAATTTGTGTGAAATTGGCAAAATTGCTAAATTCTGACCACTTTATTGGATAGTTGAAATTGGTAAATGGGTGGTTTCTTGTACTCATTTGATAGAAAAAATGGAGTTCTGGCAAAACAGTTATGATTTTTGTCCACTAGCACACTAGAGTTGGCCGAAAATAGGGCTCAAAGTGGGCAAAATCAGCTGATGCGTAAACATCGTCGAGACCGCTAACTTCGCAAGAGCATAATTCCGTAAGTTTTCCATCAAATTTCATACTTTTGGTGTCATTATGATCGGGAAAAGATTATCTATCTTTTCATAAGAAAAAATTATTTTTTTTTTTTTAAATTTGGGGACCCTGAGAACAAGTCTCGGAGAGGGCCTGGCGACCCTGAAAGGGTTAAGAGTCAAATTGCCTAATTACCCTTTCAGGGTCCAAGGCCAAAATCTGAAGTCACGCACCAGTGTCCAAGAATTTAAAAAAAAAAAATGTTATTTTTTCTTATGAAATCGTAGAGAATCTTTTTGTGAAGGTAATAAAACAAAAAGTACGAAATTTGGTGGAAAATTGACGAAATTATGCTCTCGCGAATTTTGATGTGTCAGCGATATTTACGAGTCGGCGATTTTGCCGATTTTGACTCCCATTTTAGGCCAATTACATTATTCCAATCAACCAAATTCTTAGCTATTTCACTAGTATTACTTCTATTCTATCGATTGAGCACAAGAAATCGCCAAATCAACTGTTTCAACTACAAAATAAAGTGATCGGAAATTGTTAATTTGGCCAATTTAACACAAAGTTCAAAATATTCCAATTTCAAAATAGGCTCCAGAATAAACAATGTAGGTATTCCTGGAACTAAACTAACATTTCCTCTGTTCATTAGTTACATTTTGAGGCTTAACAAATAAATTCCATTTTGATTTTTTATTCACATAATGAATTTTTATTCACACCAAAAAATAGAAGATTTACTGTTATGCAATACTGTAATAATTGTATAAATATCATCACCATATTTGTGAATGTATATTAGACCCACCAGCTGACGTTTATTAGATGTGTGAGGTCGTTTGTTTACTCTTGAATATCGGCAAAAATTTAACATTTCCGCTACTTTGAGCTCAGTTTGAAGCCATTTCCAGTGCTAAAACCAATCAAAATCATCTCTATTTCTGTAATATGTCTTCCATTCTATCAAATGAGACCAAGAAATCGCAAATACAACTATAAAAAACATACGAAAAAACACTGCAAAGTCGCTGTTTTAATCGAAAAATCATGATTTCAGTTTTTTCTCTCATTATACACAGTGTGCTGCAGGATCTGTTTTATGTGGTGCACACATACCACATAGATGTATTCTCTCATATCTAGGCCCAAATGTACCACTCACAGTTTATCAGAGTGAGCTGAGCTCATGGCATAGATCTACGGTTTGGACACTCACCGTAAAGCCGTAGATCTACGGGACGGACCCTGAAAGGGTTAAATGTAGAGGTTTTAACATGAAGTCCAGTACACACAAAAAAGTGGAGAGTTCTGTACTTTCACTTTAATTCACAACTTCATTTGCACTACCCTAAAAATCTTCCATAAAGGAAGCTTTATCAGGTTCAAAAGACTGTTGTACCTGTATGTCAGGTGTTCGATGGATCCTCTCCATTTGATTTCTTTTTAGTAAATAATCATTTTTATTGCCAGCTTTCATTTTTTACAGAAAGATGTTAAAATATTCCAAGAACAAAACCAGGGGTCTGATACTTACGTCCAATTTTACCTTTGACGGTCTTAGTTGCTTCTATGGTCTGTGCCTGCACTTCCCGAATCCTTGACCTTCGTGTGAAGCTTCGCCCATCACCTTTGTACTGTCTTGTCAATGGCATAAATGGCGATTTTGGCGTTGCCACCACAGATAACCGCAAGAATCCTCTGGTACAAGTAGTACCCACTGTTGACAATCTTGCAGCCAACATGTTGAAAATACTGAAAATATAAATATTGTATATCACTCCATTAAATCTTTAATAGATTGAAGCACCAACCTTAAATAAAAATTTGCCCTTAACTTCCATCCATGTGAAGAACTTGTGTAGAATTTCCTCTTGATCAGTCTCACTTTATGCAATTACAGTCCTTAACTTGGAGCAACTTGATTACCTTCCATGACCTCTACAAGTTTAACACTCCCCAAGAATACAATAATAATGATAATTAATGATAATGAATCAGAAAAAACTGATGAACAGCAGGACTAAATAAAGTTCTCCAGTACAATACAACCTCCAGGTTTGCTCCCACTTCACCCCACCATCTACACATTGTTAATTTTTTTTCTTTCAACAAACCGGCCGTATCCCACCAAGGCAGGGTGGCCCAAAAAGAAAAACAAAAGTTTCTCTTTTTAAATTTAGTAATTTATACAGGAGAAGGGGTTACTAGCCCCTTGCTCCTGGCATTTTTGTTGCCTCTTACAACATGCATAGCTTACGGAGGAAGAATTCTGTTCCACTTCCCCATGGAGATAAGAGGAAATAAACAAGAATAAGAACTAGTAAGAAAATAGAAGAAAACCCAGAGGGTTGTGTCTTCTTCTTTCAACGTACCAGCCGTATCCCACTGAGGTGGGGTGGCCCAAAACAAAAAACTGAAGTTTCTCCTTTTAAATTTAGTAATATATACAGGAGAAGGGGTTACTAGCCCCTTGCTCCCGGCATTTTAGTCGCCTCTTACGACACGCATGGCTTACAGAGGAAGAATTCTGTTCCACTTCCCCATGGAGATAAGAGGAAATAAACAAGAACAAGAATTAGAAAGAAAATAGAAGAAAACCCAGAGGGTTGTGTATATATATATATGCTTGTACATGTATGTGTAGTGTGACCTAAGTGTAAATAGAAGTAGCAAGACATACCTGAAACCTTGCATGTTTATGAGACAAAAAATGGACACCAGCAATCCTACCATCATGTAAAACAATTACAGGCCTTCATTTTACACTCATTTGGTAGGACGGTAGTACCTCCCTGGGCGGTTGCTGTCTACCAACCTATGGCCTATAACATTGTTAATATAAAGCACAAAATTCATTGTGTGACTCAATTGCATTCTGTTTAGTGCTTTACCCAAAGATCTCATTCACAAGGGGCATGGACATGCAGCAGACATGTGTGAGCATGTTAGATAGGAGTAAATCAAATGATTTTTGGGACCTGACAAGCTGCTGAATGTGAGCAGGGTAATACAGTGGACCCCCAGATATTGGCTGGTGCGGATATTGGCCAAATCGGATTTTGGTCACTTTTTTGGCCGAAATTCTATCCTGGATTTCGGCTGGCAACTTGGAAATCGGCTGTATTGGACATGTCCGCCCGCCACTCCGCCACGTGCGTGAGTCAGTCTGGCTGTGTCTCTTGGTGAGTGAGCAATGCTCTGCGAATTCATCCAAACAGTTTGTTACAAACCATTGTTTTTTTGTGGTTGTTTATTGAGTGCTACTTCCAAATAAGCCACCATGGGCCCACAGAAAGTTCCTAGTGCCAGCCCTTTGATAAAAAAAAAGTGACAAAACCTTGTCCCACTTCAGGCAAGTCTTAGAGAGATGCCAGAAACAAACCTCTCCGGACAGTTTTTTTGTGCAACAGGGGTGCAGTGACTCAAGCTGGTCCTAGTGCTAGTAAAAGGCAAAGAAGGGAAATAACCCCGGATAGGGACCCGATACCTGAAGTCCTTGTGGAGGGGGATTTCCCTTCCAAACAATAACCCCAACTCCCTCTCCCCTTCTCGCCTTCTTCAGTAAGCCAACAAGAGTCTTCAATAAAGGTATGTAATGTTCATTTATCATTAAAATTTGTGTTTTATATTTATTTCTCATTGTTTTCTGTATGTAAAACTATAGTTAATCTTTAAAAAATGCATTTTTTGTTAATATTTTTGGGTGTCTGGAAAGGATTAATTGTATTCACATTAATTCTTATGGGAAATATTACTTCGGTTTTTGGCCTTTTCAGATTTAGGCCGACCTTCTGGAATGGATTACGGCCGAAATCCTGGGTTCCGCTGAATTTTGTGAAGGGATTCAGGGAAACCGGTTAGCTAGACTTGAGTCCTGGAGGTGGGATGTACAATGCCTGCACTTTAAATGAGAGATTTGGGATATTGGCTGTTTGGAGTGACATCTAAACTGCTGTATCTGAGTGCCTGTGCAGAGACAGTGATTTTATGTGAATGATGGTGAGTGTTGAATGATGAAAATATTTCTTTCTCTTTTGGGTCACCCTGCCTTGATGGGAGACAGCTGGCATGTTGAAAATAATAATAATAATAATAATAGCAGCATCAGCAGCTAATGATTATACAAAGATATACAATAATTTGAAACTCATAGTCTGCATAGCAGGTAACAGGGGCAGCCTTGTCCAAGAATCAACCCCATGTCCTTTACGGTTGCGAGGTGAGCGAACTACCACTTCACTACCAGGACATTTGATTTCAAAAGGATGTAGTATATAAAATTACTAGTAAGTAACCATTGTAAATATGTGGAACTGACTATGGAACGGAACTCTTCTCCAGACTGAGGGACTGACCACCTCAAAACCTATTTCTCCTAGGCTGAAGGACTGATTACATAATTTTTACCTTGCCATTACTCCTGCTGCCTCAAATTTATTCTCATATTTGAATGAAGAAGCCTACCGTGTAGGCAAAACATTTCAACAATGAAGATACCCAACTGCTGCATGTGTCTTACTCATTAACTTACTGGTATTAGATAACATTTTCAACATAAAAAATCCAGTCCCCAATGACATCTGATTCAAGCAAGTTATCCTGGATTACTAACCCTGGGGATTAAGAATTCAAAGAAAATCTTATTTGACCCTACATTAGTACAGTGGTGTTGCTGGTGGATACCAAGGTACTTATAGGGCTTGGCAACTTCCCACACCACTACTGTTAACATACGTTACCAATGCAGGTGGCTTGATTGGCAATGCTCTCGGCTCATACACTGAGTGTCCAGGTTCAATCCCTGGCATGTGTGGAATCATTGGGCATTTCCTTATACCTGCTGTCCCTGTTAACCTAGCAGTAAGTAGGTACCTGGTATTAGCCGATAGGTGTGGGTCGCATCCTGGAGGACAAAACTGAAGAACCCCCAATGGAAATAAAGACAAGACAGTCCCTGACGACTCGTGGAAATAAGTCACCGACTTATTTTGGGTTATCCTTGGCGAAGTGGAAAAGAATTCTTCCTTAAGCCATGCGTGTCATAAGAGGCAACTAAAATGCTGGGAGCAAAGGGCTAGTAGCCCCTTCTCCTTTATGCATTACTAAGTTAAAAAGAGAAACCTTTGTTTTTCTTTTTTTTGGGTCACCCTGCCTCTGTGGGATATGGCCGGTTTGTTGAAAGATGATGAAGTATGATAATTATACTTATGTGTACCTGTGCCTAAATAAACTACAGTGGTCCCTCGTTTTTCATAATTAATCCGTTCCTGGAGCCATTACTATAAACGAAATTTACGATTTACGAATCAATTTTCCCCAAAAGAAATAATGTAAATACAATTAATCCGTTCCTGACACCCAGAAGTATTAAAACAAAACATTTTTTTACATGAAATATACATGTAGTACATAAACAATACAATGGGAAATGATGAATGAAACATTAACAGCATAACACTTACCTTTATTGGAGATTCTTAGTGTATGGGAGACTGGAGGAGGAGAGAGATTGGATTGTTTACAGTTTGGAAGGGGAATCCCCTTCCAGGAACACCTCAGGTACCAATTGCTTCTCTGGGGTTGCTTCTCTTCTCTGTTTCTTAATGCCACTAGGACCACCTTGAGAGTCACTCTAGTCCTGTCTCGCAAAGTAACTATGGACAGAGCTCTGTTTCTGGCGTCTCTTTAACACTTCCCTAAAATGGCCCAAGACTTTCGTCACTGTACATATTTCTCACCTTCTTTACCACAGGCTTGGCACTAGGAGCTTTCTTTGGAGCCATGGTAGCTTATTTAGTACTTGCAAGCACTAAAATGAGTGGAATATTATGAAATATTTCGTAGGAGCACTTGAGGGGACCTTCACTCACTGGTAAACAATGCCAGACTGGCTGGGTAGGGAGGCCTCCCGGGCTCACACCGTGCGTACACGTCCCAGACGAACTACTATTCGTGAGTCAACCTATGAAAAGCGAGTCCATGTTTATACGAAAATGCCCCTATGATTGGCGAAATTTATGATTGCCGAGAACTACGAAAAGCAAGGGACCACTGTACTTATACATGAATGGTATACTACATACAATACCGACAAGTCTTGTTTTCCTGGCAGATATTAGTGCCAGGAAAAAAAGACACCCCCCTTACCACCAATCCGACGACATTCATCTTTGCAAATATACAGGGTCTAAAGCCAGCACCAAATAACAAAATACCTTTCGTCCATGGACTGCTTACGGGGTCAAATGCAATGTTCATGGTTTTGATAAAGACCCACATAAAGGATCACTTGGACAATGAAATGTGGATCCCCGGTTACAACCTATACAGATGTGACAGTGAACAGGTAATAGGGGAGGGGGGTTGCCCTGTATATCACAGAGTACTACTAAATGCCTCAAATGACGTAATTGAAGTTTTAGCAGTAAAGATCGAGACCCAAAACCTGGTCATTGTGGTTGTATACAAGCCTCCAGATGCAACGTCCCAACAATTCCAGGAACAGTTTTTGAAAATTGACCACTGTCTGGAAAACCTTCCAGCTCCTGCCCTCAACATCTTGCTCCTGGGGGATTTCAACCTAAGGCACCTATAATGTAGGAATAAAGCAAATAATGTTGTAGCAGAGAAAGCACCAGGAGGCAGCTCAGATGAAAACTTGCACACACCCACACGAGCTTTTAAATCTTTGCAACAAATTCACAAACGAGCTTTTAAATCTTGGCAACAAATTCACAATAAACCAGCAATAACAGAGCCTACAAGGTTTGAGAATACGCTGGACCTCTTCTTCACTAACAATGATGATCTGATACGAAATGTCATCATATCAAAAACAATATACTCAGATCACAACATAAGAGAGGTCCAGACATGTATGCGGGGTAGCCCCAGATGAACAAAATATTATCAGTCACGAGGGAGCCTTCACCAAATTCAACTTCAATAACAAAAACATAACATGGGACCAGGTAAACCAAGTCCTAAATGATATAAACTGGGAGATAGGATCCATGTTGCTTAGTCTATGTCTAAAACAAATTAACTCTGTGGCACTTGAGGTATGCTCAAGGCATATTCCCTTAACCCTTTCAGGGTCGACAGGCCCTCTCAGAGACTTGTTCTCAGGGTCGCCCAAATTTTCAAAAAAAAAAAAAAAAAAAAAAAAAAAAAAAAAAAAATTCTTCTTATGGAAAGATAGAGAATCTTTTCCCGGTCATAATGACACCAAAAGTATGAAATTTGATGGAAAACTTATGGAATTATGCTCTCGCGAAGTTAGCAGTCTCGACGATGTTTACGCATTTTGCCCACTTTGAGCCCTATTTTCAGCCTATTCCACTGTACTAGTCGACAAAAATCATGAATATTTCGCTAGAACTCCATTTTTTTATATTGAATGAGTGCAAGAAACCACCCATTTACCGATTTCAACTATCTAGTACAGTGGTCAGAATTTAGCAATTTTGCCAATTTCACACAAATTTCAAAAGATGCCAATTTCCAAATAGGGTCCAGAATAAACAAGACAGACATTACTGGCACTAAAATGACATTTCCTCTGTTCATTAGTCACGTCCCAACGCCCCTGTTACATTCTTTTGCTTTCCACATTGAATTTTTATTCTCACAATAAATAGAAGATTTACTGTTATGCAGACTACTGCATTAGTGTAAAAAATGGTATAAATAATATCGGCGCACTTGTGAAAGAATATTAGATTCACCAGTTGACGTACATTGGATGCTTGGCATGATTTGTTTACTTTTGATCTTTGGTAAAAATCGAGCATTTCTGCTACTTTGAGCTCAATTTCAAGGTACTTTTCATTGTAAAATCAGTCAAAATCATCTCGATTTCTGTAATATGTCTTCCATTCTATAGAATGAGACCAGAAAAACTAGAATACAACAATAAATACCATACGAAAATACAGTGCAAAGTCACTGTTTTAATCCAAAAACACGGTCAAAGTTTTTTTTTCTCATTACGCACTGTGTGCTGCAGGATTTTTTTAATACTGCGTACACTGACCACATAGACCCATTTTTTCATATGTAAGCCTACCAGCTTTCTCTCACTAGATTTGAGGGCGCTAGAATTTAGGCATACTAGTACGTCAAACACCCTGGTGCGTAAGCCGTACTAGTACGGCCAAAACCCTGAAAGGGTTAAGGAAAAGGAGATGATGTATACTAGAAAGAGAAAGGCACTCCCTATACAGGAAAAGGTAAAGAATAACAGAGTGGCTCTATGTGGCCAATACATGTACTACATCTGCAATACACAGGGAGACACTGATCAGAGAAATAGCAAACATCGAAGTAAAGGTAAAGGAATCTTACAGGAGTCAAGAAATGCGAGAAGAACTAAAAGAAATAAATGAAATTGAAAGAAACCCAAAGTATTTCTTTTCTTATGCTAAATTAAAGCCCAGAACAACATCCAGTATTGGGCCTCTACTTAAACGGGATGGGTCCTACACAGATGACAGCAAGGAAACGAGTGAGTTACTCAAGTCCCAATATGACTCGGTTTTTAGCGAGCCACAAACAGACTGCATAACTACGATAAACCACCTTAATTATGGGAATGCTTCAGTGTTTCTAAACCCGTACTCCCTCCCTAGGGATATACACCTGGAAAATCCTAGAGGGACTAGTACCAAACTTGCACATAAAAATCACTTCCTACAAAAGCAAAAGACTCGGCAGACGGTGCAACATCCCCCAATGAAAAGCAGGGGTGTCACTAGCACGATAAGAGACAACACAATAAGTATCAGGGGCCCAAGACTGTTCAACTGCCTCCCAGCATACATAAGGGGGATTACCATTAGACCCCTGGCTGTCTTCAAGCAGGCCCTGGACAGGCACCTAAAGTTAGTACCTGACCAGCTGGGCTGTGGTTTATACGTTGGATTACATGGTGCTAGCATTAACAGCCTGGTTGATCAGGCCCTGATCCACCATGAGGCCTGGCCACAGACCAGTCCGGGGGGTTGTTGACCCCCGGAACAGTCTCCAGGTATACAGGATGAGAATTACACATCTGTGCAACATCTGGGTATCTTTATGGTAGATGTTTTGCCAATCAGTGGCTTTATCAATACAAATTCCAGGACAATTATATCCTGGAATTTGCACTGATAGCCACTGGATGGCAAAACTTCTACAATAATATTACCCAGATGTTTCACACGTGTCTAATTTTTCAATAAACTACTTACTGGATGGCTAACCCCCCTAAAATACTCTTTTCACACTCCGCTGTGTCCATGGTTCGATCCCCGGCAAGGGTGTGTTTCCTTACACCTGTTGTCCCGTTCACCTAGCAAGCAAGTAGGTACCTGGGTGCTAATCGACTGATGTGGGTCGCATCCTGGGGGACAAGAATGACCGTAATGGTAACAAGACAGAGTCTTTAATGACGCGCTGCCTTCCTTGGGTTATCCTGGGTGGCTTATCCTCCGGGGTTAAAAATACAAACAAAATCTTATCTTAATCAATAAAAGTTAAATGTAATTATTTTCATTGGGGTCCTTATCTTGCTCTCAACCATGACTCGAAATGTGAAGAAAATTATACGATGAACTATTTACTGAAGACGGGATATTGTGAGCATAGTCCTGCTCCTGTAGCTACAAAGACGTAATAACAAGTAGATAAACCAGTTATAAAACCACACACGAGTTTATGTAGTCACGGCTACTCATCTTCAACACAACAAATATCCCAATAAAATACAATAATAAGCTTACGCAGTGCAAATTTACACTGCCCAAATAAACTAAAATATATACATACATATATATTAATAACACCTTGACACAGTAAAAAACGAGAGAGAGAATTACATCAGCCGAAGACAACTTCTAGAACACCAGTCACTAGTACAGTCAACTTGGTTATAAAGGCCACTGACAGCTTCTACATTATCCTGTCTTACCTCCCTATCACATGTATTATATTAGCAACACTTTCGTCACATTAAAGATTTTTGGGGTTAGAAAAAAGCCCAGAATAATTATCAGGGCTTTATTTTGCTTTTGTTTTTTTAGTCTTTCAATGCCACACACATAAAAATGTTTTGACTGCATGAACTGTATCATGATGCAAGGAACCAACAGTATTTCCTGTAACTCTGGCAGATAATAGATTTTAATACCTGCCCACCTACCCTTCCAAAAATCTAATTATGCACAATACTCAGCTTCGATTACTTTCTAAAATAAAGTCTCTGGAACAAATACACAACTTAAGGAGACAAAATTATCATAACCCAAATGTAAATAAGTTACTTTGTCTGACTTCTTTGGATTATCTAAAGTAATTTACCCATGTTACTATGTATGATAATTGTATTTATGTGGACCTATACCTAAATAAACTATCCTGGTGGTGCTATAATACAGAGGTGTATTAGAATTAATAAGTGAGCTTCTACCTTACAAACTGAGCTGTTTGCCATACTTGCTGCACACAGTTTAATTGTAACTTGTCTTGTGTTTCCTCATTACTTGTTCTAAATAACCTGAGACCTGAATATAGCTTGCTTATGTAACAAGCTAGGTATATATGTACACACATTATTAAGAAAGGAATTCCAGTTAAGCTTTAATGAGTTCCCTCTCACACAGGTCTCCAGTAGCATGACAAAGTTGATCAATTACCCGAATAAACATTAAATCAAGAGAATGTTGATAATTTAATTTTTTCAAACAAAAGTTTACGAAACATTGTTAGAAAGGAAATGGCAAAAGAGCTCGAAGAAAGAACAATACAAATATGAACTATTGAACATTAAAATGGTATAAAATACCGACAGGTTGTTAGGTAAGACACATATGCAACAGTTAGGTATCTTTATTTTGAAACGTTTCGCCTACACAGTAGGCTTCTTCAGTCGAGTACAGAAAAGTTGATAGAAGTCTGAAACAATATATGTTTCAGACTTCGGAACAATGCTCTTCTCCAGACTGAGGGACTGACCACCTCAAATCTTTAAGGGTGATGGACTGATTACATCGTCTTCAAGTCTCTTCTGCTTCTATCAACTTTTCTGTACTCGACTGAAGAAGCCTACTGTGTAGGCGAAACGTTTCAAAATAAAGATACCTAACTGTTGCATATGTGTCTTACCTAACAAATATGAACTAGCAAATCCATTATCCTTCGTAAGGAAATGTGTCAAGTTAAACATATCTGTGGTGAAAATAACAAGGTCAGTAGAATGCAAGAAGTTGCTACTGCTAGACTAAGGCTTGGTTATAAGTATATCTGGCAGTATAATAATAATAATGACTTCGAACAGGCGATAAATGACATGCCCATGCACTGCCCGAGGGCCAGACTCATGGAACTCCGTGTTCATCAAGAACTGCAAGAAGCCCCTATCACGAGCCTTTTCCATCCTATGGAGAGGGAGCATGGACACGGGGGTCGTCCCACAGTTACTAAAAACAACAGACATAGCCCCACTCCACAAAGGGGGCAGTAAAGCAACAGCAAAGAACTACAGACCGATAGCACTAACATCCCATATCATAAAAATCTTTGAAAGGGTCCTAAGAAGCAAGATCACCACCCATTTAGAAACCCATCAGTTACACAACCCAGGGCAACATGGGTTTAGAACAGGTCGCTCCTGTCTGTCTCAACTATTGGATCACTACGACAAGGTCCTAAATGCACTAGAAGATAAAAAGAATGCAGATGTAATATATACAGACTTTGCAAAAGCCTTCGACAAGTGTGACCATGGCGTAATAGCGCACAAAATGCGTGCTAAAGGAATAACAGGAAAAGTCGGTCGATGGATCTATAATTTCCTCACTAACAGAACACAGAGAGTAGTCGTCAACAGAGTAAAGTCCGAGGCAGCTACGGTGAAAAGCTAAGATAAGATAAGATAAGATTTTGTTCGGATTTTTAACCCCGGAGGGTTAGCCACCCAGGATAACCCAAGAAAGTCAGTGCGTCATCGAGGACTGTCTAACTTATTTCCATTGGGGTCCTTAATCTTGTCCCCCAGGATGCGACCCACACCAGTCGACTAACACCCAGGTACCTATTTGCTGCTAGGTGAACAGGACAACAGGTGTAAGGAAACGTGTCGAAATGTTTCCACCCGCCGGGAATCGAACCCGGGCCCTCCGTGTGTGAAGCGGGAGCTTTAGCCACCAGGCCACCGGGCCACAAGGCACAGTACTCGCTCCCATCTTGTTTCTCATCCTCATATCCGACATAGACAAGGATGTCAGCCACAGCACCGTGTCTTCCTTTGCAGATGACACCCGAATCTGCATGACAGTGTCTTCCATTGCAGACACTGCAAGGCTCCAGGCGGACATCAACCGAATCTTTCAGTGGGCTGCAGAAAACAATATGAAGTTCAACGATGAGAAATTTCAATTACTCAGATATGGTAAACACGAGGAAATTAAATCTTCATCAGAGTACAAAACAAATTCTGGTCACAAAATAGAGCGAAACACCAACGTCAAAGACCTGGGAGTGATCATGTCGGAGGATCTCACCTTCAAGGACCATAACATTGTATCAATCGCATCTGCTAGAAAAATGACAGGATGGATAATGAGAACCTTCAAAACTAGGGAGGCCAAGCCATGATGACACCTTCAGGTCACTTGTTCTATCTAGGCTGGAATATTGCTGCACACTAACAGCACCTTTCAAGGCAGGTGAAATTGCTGACCTAGAAAATGTACAGAGAACCTTCACGGCACGCATAACGGAGATAAAACACCTCAATTACTGGGAGCGCTTGAGGTTCCTGAACCTGTATTCCCTGGAACGCAGGCGGGAGAGATACATGATTATATACACCTGGAAAATCCTAGAGGGACTAGTACCGAACTTGCAGCACGAAAATCACTCACTACGAAAGCAAAAGACTTGGCAGACGATGCAACATCCCCCCAATGAAAAGCAGGGGTGTCACTAGCACGTTAAGAGACCATACAATAAGTGTCAGGGGCCCGAGACTGTTCAACTGCCTCCCAGCATACATAAGGGGGATTACCAACAGACCCCTGGCAGTCTTCAAGCTGGCACTGGACAAGCACCTAAAGTCGGTTCCTGACCAGCCGGGCTGTGGCTCGTACGTTGGTTTGCGTGCAGCCAGCAGCAACAGCCTGGTTGATCAGGCTCTGATCCACCAGGAGGCCTGGTCACAGACCGGGCCGCGGGGGCGTTGACCCCCGGAACTCTCTCCAGGTAAACTCCAGGTAATAATAATAATAATAATAATATCTTTATTTTTACATGTACATGTACAAGGTATACAGGCCTAACTGACATCAGTGACATACTACTATACAGAAAACCGTTTATTTTGCAGATTATTTCGGGCAAATTAGGTCAATTTTGTCCCAGGATGCCACCCACACCAGTCGACTAACAACCGGGTACCTATTTTTACTGATGGGTGAACATCGACAACTGGTGTAAGGAAACACACCCAATGTTTTCACCCATGCCGGGAATCGAACCCGGACACTCAGCGTGTGAAGCGAGAGCTTTGCCAACAGGCGACGGGCCTGTATGGGTTTGTATGGAGGTGGCACAAAATGCAAAGTGTGTGGACAGAGACAGAGCCATACACTGGACCATTAGTGTCCAAACATCCAACCTTTCAGAGACACTCATGTAAACCTTACAGGATATAGCAAAACACCTCTATGATAGTGATATCTGAAAATTTGAGGTTGTATTCACATTTTGCATCGACTAGATGAATGAACTATCTTCGTTAGGAACTGTGGAAATTATTTAATTTCCGAAGCTATAGTGCCTAATAAGTGTTTAATGTGTTGACTTGGGTCAAAATGTATTTGCATTTTGAATGGAACCAACTGGGTTCCCGCTGTGCCTGCGCAGATGTGCGGGGGTATAGGTCGAACAGGGGCACGAGGGGGCGGGAGTGTTTTGAATGTAGTGAGGAGGCTGTGAAAACCTGGGATCAGGAAATTGGCGTTCACGGCGGCCTAAGGATTAATATGGGTCTCACTTCATAATAGGAAGTGTCGTAACTGTTCCTGGTAAAAAGGTGGTAAAATTAGTGAATAATGGTTCGACCGGGTGTGACTGGTGCGCGGCCATGGTGTGTGTCCAGGGGAAATACCCGTGAGTTAATCCTCACTCATCGGCCTCAGATCTTAATGGAGTGACCTCTAATGTGTATAATAATTATGAGACGTTAAATCGTCTTGTGAATGGTAATGTAATCAGTGATAATAACATTAAGTTAAGAGAATGCGGGATGTGAAATAGATCGCCCTGCTCCGAGTGCACGTGTGATTCTCGTACCGAGGATAGTGAAGTTTGATGGAATCACGACTTCTAAACCAGGACAAACCAACGGATACCTCGTCCTGCTGGAATAAGAACCGTGTCGGTGTAGCAGGACATCGAAATGAGATGGTGAATGGAGGAAATAAGGAGTATCAATCACCCACAGTTAAGTAACCCTTCTAGTTATAGCAGACTTATACTGGCCAGTTGGGTATGTTGTAATTGGATAGGTTATGGGTGATCCAGCTACATCAAGTGACCACCAGAGAATATCTGGTAAGTGGTGAGATTATGTACAAGTGTTTTTCCTTGATGGATATATCCATGTGTAACCTACCCCCCCCCCCTTCATTCAGTTAAACTAATATAATCTATACAGTCCACAATTAATTAGTAGCACCGTACTTGTGGGTGCTATCCAATCCATACTGGTCTCGGATAGATATGGATAAGATTGTGAGGTCGAAGGAACCACTTGCCGTGACCAGGGGTGGTTAAGTTTTCTCACATGTCTACACGGGGTGACTACGGCAAACAATATGGTTGTCTCCAAATGAGTTTACTTGTAAGCATGTAATGTTGAGGTACATAAA